AATTGTAACACGGTGACAAGTATCTTTATATCTAAACTTTAAAAAGATACAGAAAAATTATGGTATTATCATCTTATGCAACCACCATCTTATATGCAGTCCATCCTTGACTGAAATGTTGTTATGTGGCGCATGACTGTAGTTTGTTAGGTATTAAACAGAACTATCTATGGGGAACCTGCCACCCTGAGAGGTGACATGCATACCAAATACAACAGCTCCTTCAGATCTAAGCTTATCCACTGCTCCCGCACAGTACCAATACAGGTACCTCTCCTTTGTATACTTTGTTATAATATTCACAATTTTACATTTCAGTGATTATTTGATTAATGTCTTCCTCCCTTGCTGGACTAATTGTCTTCCCAATTTTCAAAGCTTTTCTGATTTCATTACAACTCAGGAATACCCACTTCTATCTCCTAAAATTCCAGTCCTATATCATACCTCCTCAGGTCCCCACCTTCCAGAGTCCTGGCTCTCATCTCTTACTTCCCTAGATCCCTCAGTTTTTCTCACATACTTATTGATCCCCTTCAATTTGCAGTTCTAAGACTCAAATTTATTTTCCTTTATCCATTTGATTTCTTAAAAAAAAAAAACCTTATTTTAATATCTCTATTACTATTTGTCATCCATATCACCTTCATTTTTTATTTTTAATGCACAGTTCCATCTTTTGGTAACTGTCTCTAATATGGACAATAAATTAATTCAGTTCATGTATACTGGAATTCTCATGATTGTCAAAATTTTGTAGACTAGAATATGGGGTGGGTCACTGACTTAATCTATTTATCTATATTCTCAAGGTATATACAAGCATATGGTGCCTAAGATTATATCAGATCTTAAAAACAAAACAAAACAAACAAAACAGCAGACCTTTTCTGGATCAATCAGAAGAAGATCCAGATCTCTGCCTGAATAGCATTCCCCTCTCCCCAGAGCAGTCCCTCTAACTCAGTCTGGTAAGCGCCAGACTATACAATCACCTAATTCAGGAGACCTTTGACTTCCTTGGGCCACAGAGGAAGAAGAAGAATTTTCTACGGCCACAACATAAAATACACTAAAACTAATGAGAGCTGATGATCTTTAAAAAAAATTACAAAAATCTCATAATGTTTTAAGAAAGTTTGTGAATTTGCTGGGCCACATTCAAAGCCATCCTGGGCTGCATGAGGCCCATGGGCTGCGGGTTGTACAAACCCATTCTAATTGTTAAACAGTCTGGAGATACATTGTAGTCTATGATGAACAAGCATGATTAACAACTATTTTAGATTACTATCCTCTAAAGACATGTAAAACAAACTAGTTAGTGCATTGCTTCTAAAAACAGAACTAACCTTTCCAAAGTGCTTTTAAGTATATCATCTGCAGGATTTTCTTGTTTTCTTTAATACATTTTAAACTTAAGTAGTTTCTATTTATCCCTTCTTTGTTTTCTCTCTCCTTCTTAGTAAAAAGATACCTAGATATTTACAGGAAGAAATTATTTTCCACTTTTTCTCACTTACCCTAAATTCTCTACATGTGAGTCCTTTAATCCTTCCTCATATTAATCCTTTAAATGTTTTCTCATTTGTGCTGATTAGACGGCTGGCATTGTAAGCACAAAGTGGAGACCTTGCTAAAACATGCAGACCTACAACATAGTCCTTTTTGAGTCTCATATTACCCTGCCTTACCTCTTCACTAAGTCCAGAAACAGCTGGGGCTGAAACAAACTGTTAATTACCAATCCAATATCATTTCCACTTCTTCCTTGCTATGAGGTCCCCAATTTTATTCAAGTAGCAATATTAACCAGGCCCAAACAACTCATCAGGATTGCTATAATGATCTTCTCCCCTCACTTTCCCAGCCTCTTTTTACATGTACAGGTGGCTCAGTGAGAAATCTGCAGGAGGATTACAGGCAACAAAAAGGAAATCCACAGATGGGAGGAGGAAGATAGTCTGAATAAAAGTACACTTTCCTAACAAAAGATATAGTTAACCCTTTTCCTTCCCACTGACTTGAGCACAGAATGGATCCAATGTCTGAAAATGTACCAGCCCTAGGTCTCTCTGCCACCACTAAGCAGGTGAACCAGCGCCAGCAACCATCTACTCAGGTTATGCTAGATGAGAGAAATAAACTTCTTTTTGTTTAAGTTACTGCTCTTTGGATAGTCAGTTATCTGCAGCAGTAAGCTTTCCTAACCAATTGACCAACCTTCCCTGATAATTCCAAATAGGGATTAGCTGCCCTGTAACAGAATGGATGAAATGCGATCAGACACTACAGGGCCACTCCATTCATGACCCACCATGACAAACTAGAAGGTAGTGTAAGAATGCCAAGTCTGGGCCAGGCACGGTGGCTCACGCCTGTAATCCCAGCACTTTGGGAGGCCGAGGCGGGTGGATCACGAGGTCAAGAGATCGAGACCATCCTGGCCAACACGGTGAAACCCCGTCTCTACTAAAAAAATACAAAAAATTAGCTGGGCATGGTAGCGCATGCCTGTAATCCCAGCTACTCAGGAGGCTGAGGCAGGAGAATTGCCTGAGCCCAGGAGGCGGAGGTTGTGGTGAGCCGAGATCACGCCATTGCACTCCAGCCTGGGTAACGAGCAAAACTCCGTCTCAAAAAAAAAAAAAAAAAAAAAAGAATGCTAAGTCTGGCATATATACCAAAGAGCACTCGCATTTTTGTATTCTACCTGGCCCTATCACCAGACCTCAAAATCTATTCCATGTAGGAGCCAGATGATCACTCATTTTAAGCCTTGTGGAGAATGGAATAAAAAACCAAATACAATATAAAGTTCAATGCCTATACTTAAATGATCTTCATAAGAAATCCTTGTGAATTACGCAACATAATTCCAACAAAGGAGCTAAAATCTTACCTCTTCATTTTCCATCCTGCCTCTGATGTAAATACCAACATGCACATAGGCAGAAAAAGTTATGAAGGAGAAATAAATAAACATGAAGAATGCAAAAAGTAAATAATTAAGGCTCTATAAAAAGACACAAAAACACAAGATTCTCCACAAATTCATTTGAAAAATGCAGACAAGTCACCTGCTAGTCTTCTGCTACTGTATGTATGCTGATATCACCCAAATCATTGATACGGTTTTTACGCTGCTCTGAATTGTAATACTGATAACAAAAAATCATGCAATAGTTTACTCCTTAAGAAGACATCCTAAACTTAGTTTTGTATGTGGTGCAAAGAAAGCAGAAATCCATTACAGTGCACTGACTGCTGTTATAAAAATAATCTTAATCTTTTAATTCTTTACCCAAATTCCCCAAGACTTTTGTAAGAGCTATTTACGCTATTTATAACATAACTGGCTATTTAATACCTACTTGGCTTGTTAGTTGAAGGCTAATTATTGGCTTTTTAAAGAGTACTTGTACAACTTGAGTGAACCACTGTCTTTACCAGCTTTAAGCTCAAATATATTTTCATGTTCAAATTTCCAGTGGTCTCAATGTTTATCCTTCTGTTTTTTTTTAACAATTTATTTAAGTCAAGATCCAAATAAGTTCATCACTTTGCAACTGATCAATAAGGTTTTTAAATCTGTTTTAATTCAAAGGCTCCCCTTCCAACTCTTTTTTAATCTTACAGTTTATTTGTTAAGAGAAGCCAAGTTGTTTTTTCTCTTATTTCCCAGTTTGGATTTTGCTTATTTCATTTTCTAGAGTAGTTTGATGTGTTCCTCTCTTCTCTAGCTATGTTGTAAAATGGCTGGATCTGAAGTCTTGATCACATTCAAATTTGATTAGTCTTCCATCAGAAGATACCCCAATGACTCATTGTCTTTTTGTGATGTTCAATGCCTAGATCCATCAGATTGTTTAGAGTTTGTAATTTGGTGATATTCTATCATTCTTTCTTCATTTACTACTGAGGTACATTTATAAAAAGACCAATTTAGGCCAGGCACAGTGGCTCCCACCTGTAAACACAGCACTTTGGGAGGTCAAGGCAGGTGGATCATCTGAGGTGAGGAGTTTGAGACTAGCCTGGCCAACATGGTGAAACCCTGCCTCTGCTAAAACTACAAAAATTCACCAGGCATGGTGGCGCATGCTTGGAAGTCACTCAGAGGCTGAGGCATGAGAATCACTTGAACCCAGGAATCGGAGGTTGCAGTGAGCCAAGATCACACCTCTGCACTCCAACCTGGGCAACAAAAGCAAAACACAAAAAAAAAAAAAAAAAAAAAAGTTATTACTCAGTAATATAGTTCATATAGAAACAGAGAAATAGATAGTTGATTTCTTTTTTGGCCCATTTTGACAATAATGAGGTAATTCTTCAGAACCCTCCAATGACAATCAATTGGCTCCTTTTCATCTCTTAATGACATTATGCACTCATTTAATTATTTCATGCTTTAATCCACCGCTATTATTATTCATATTGATGCACAACTTGTTCCATCTTTGGCCAGTGGGAGCCTCTTCTGAGTCTGTTGGACACCTCCCGAATAATCTTTGTAGTTTTCTTGCTATCTACTATTATGTTTCACACTCAATTTTAAAATTCCCTACTCCAGAACTGAGTTAGCCATTTCCCCCAAGGAAGAACCCTCATTCCTTTTATTAAGAAGTGGTATCTGGATTTCATGACTGGAGTCCCATTGTAAATTGAGAAACATCTGTCCTTACAAAGCAGCTAACCCACTGTTTTTCTTTTCAATGTACCCTTTCTCTCATTTTCTACTTAAATTCCTCCCTATTTTTTTCAACTTATTTCTTAACAACTTTCTACAAAACACAATTTATCCAAGATCCCAACTTATATTAATAAGAAAGAAATACAAAAGACAAAAAGAAGCTTTCCTGTGTCAATTTTAAAAGAAAATTTTATTTAAAATAGCATTCTCTGTTCTTAAAAAAGTGGGGGGAAATGTTAACCTGTGTGTAAATGTTTCATGCTGTATATAAAAGTAAAACATTATAATGGAAAATAAAATCTCATACCTTTCAGCACTAAATGCTGACTCTGTGTCAATGTACACCACAGCTCCTTCTAATCCTCCCATGTTGGTGGGTAATGTAGCTAAAATGCTCATCATTATACAAAACTGAGTTTTTCCACAACCTGGTGGACCTGTTATCTAAAAAAAAAAAAAAAAAAGAAAGAAAAAAAATGTTGTTTGGATAAACATCACAAGCCAGTCAAAGCAAAATCCTTTTAAGACCTTGCTATATATGCAAGGTATTAAAAGATATATGCATATATATCTCTGGGCTCCCAAGAGATAATTAAGCCCTAACACCCCAAGACATCCATTGTATATAATGAATTAACTTCTCTCCTCTGGATTGGCACTAGTTATGTACTATCCTTGGAAAAATTGAGAAAATAGTTACTCAAATCATCCACTGTATTTTGTAGTTCAGATGAGAAACTTTTAGTTGAGAAAGGCTGAAACATTCACTCATTTATACCATCATAACTTGGTGTTCTATAGCTTTTCCTCATGAAGATATTTATAATAGGACTTTGAAAATATTTAAGAGTCTTTAATAAATGGTTGAACATTTGTTACAAATTGGCATTTCAAAACAATACTGTACTAGTCCCATTAAGGGCTACTTTAATCCGTATTTTTAAGAGTATTTAGGGGTGAAGTGTACTGACGTATACAGTTTACTTTCAAACAGTTCAACAAATAAAAATCTGTGTATGTACACACATATGTGTGTAGAAAGAGAAATAAAGCAAATTTATTGCTTTGTAAACAATTGTTGAGTTTCGGTGATGCATACTTTGAAATGTCTGTTTTTAAATCTTCATTGGCAGAAAACTATTTTGAGATTATGAAAGTTGAAATCAAAAGAGTATAGACAGGAAATTAATTATATGCATATTCAAGTGTAACTAGAAGTAGTTTGGCTCTGTGTCCCCACCCAAATCTCATGTTGAATTGTAATCCCCAGTATTGGAGGAGGGACCTGGTGGGAGGTGATTAGATCATGGTGGCAGTTTCCCGCTTGCTGTTCTTGTGATAGTGAGCTCCCACAAGATCTGATGGTTTAAAAGGGAAGTGGCACTTCCCTTCTTTCTCTCCCTCTCTCATTCTCTCTCTCTCTCTCTCTTTCTCCTGTTCTGCCATGTTAAGATGTGCTTGCTTCCCCTCCACCTTCTGCCATGATTGTATGTTTCCTGAGGCCTCCCAAACATGCTTCCTGTTAAGTCTGCAGAACTGTGAGTCAACTACACCTCTCTTTACTTCATAAATTACCCAGTCTCAGGTAGTTCTTTATAGTAATGTGAGGACGAACTAATACAGTAGTTAATAAAATTAGTTTGAAAATGTTTAAAAATACATCCTTTAAACATAAGCTGTTTTTCCCATTTGCTTGGGCACCCAAGTTTTTAGAACCAATGCATCATTTATTTGTGAAAATAACACTAAATAACATTTTTTTCACAATGAGAAGGGGAGAGAAGAGGAGGGGAAATGAAAAAAAAAAATCTAAGATAGAAATGAAAAAAACTCTGGGCTAAAACTGAGACACACAATAAGGAAACTGTCTCAGATATATTATGAAGTAGAAAGAAACAAATACAAATGATCCATGAGTCTGAATCATCTAAATTTGTAGTTCTCAGATTTGAGTGAGCATTAGAATCACCTGGAAAACTTGTTAATCAGCATTTCTGGTTCAGTAGGTCTGGGTTATGGCCTGAGAATTTACATTGCTACTAAGTTCCCAGGTAATGCTGATACTATTTATACACTTTAAGAACCACTGTTTCAGAATATAGTCTAAAGGTGAACTTCATTTATCAAAGTTCAACCTTTAAACACAAATGTTCAGCACATGCCTGTAATCCCAGCTACTCTGGAGGCGGAGGCAGGAGGATCACTTGAGCCCAGGAGTTCAAGACCAGCCAGAGCAACATAGCAAGATCATGTCTCAAAAAAAAAAAAAGAAGGCCGGGCGCGGTGGCTCAAGCCTGTAATCCCAGCACTTTGGGAGGCCGAGGCGGGTGGATCACGAGGTCAAGAGATCGAGACCACCCTGGTCAACATGGTGAAACCCCGTCTCTACTAAAAATACAAAAAATTAGCTGGGCATGGTGGTGCGTGCCTGCAATCCCAGCTACTCAGGAGGCTGAGGCAGGAGAATTGCCTGAACCCAGGAGGCGGAGGTTGCGGTGAGCCAAGATCGCGCCATTGCACTCCAGCCTGGGTAACAAGAGCGAAACTCCGTCTCACAGAAAAAAAAAAAAAAAAAAAAGAAAATTCTCACATTAGAAACTATGTGCTGGTTTATAATCTTTTACAATGATCATTTAGACTTTAAGAACAAATAATTACTCCTGTAAATAATAGCTTGCCAGATTATAAGTGGTCAGTAAAGAGAGTTCTCCAAACTTCTTTGACCACATACTCCAACAAACCAGTCAAAAAAAGCAATCAAAATGAAATTTAGTACAGCCCTCCAATATATACATATTTATTACATACCTACTATTTTACTAATAAGTCCTATACAGTAAAAAACCCAACAAAAATGAATTAAAAATTGCAAACATTAACAATCATTTGATGATATTTATTACTTATATAAAAGATTTTTTTGCTCTCATAAAAGCTTAACATTTTTAGTAGAGCAATGATAATAATGAAAATAATAAGAAACCAAATTGTATTTTTAAAAAATAATAATATAAATATTTTGTGATTCGGTGATTGAAATGTGAGGTCCTAAGTTCCATTTATTTCAGCATTTAATTGTAATTCCCTTCCCATAGCTGAGGAGATAATTACAAAGATATAAGAATTAAAATTAACAAAATACATCATTTGTTGGACTTAAATAAATTACTATTTGCACTTTTAAATACCTTCCATCAATCATGCAAAAGTTTTTGTTGATCTTTAAGAAATTTCCATCTTCCCTTATGTCAATTGATCATTTTTGCAGACTAATCAAAACATGTCACATTTTAACATTTTCAGCAACTGGCTTAAAAACCCACTGAAACTTCTTTTTTTTTTAATTACATTTATTTATTTTTATGGAAGTATGACAATCGGCTAGAAAAATATACAAATTACATATGACCAGTCTGATGAATTTCTACCACGATACTCATTTGCTACCAGATATGTATTATGGGTTTTGCTTGTTTTAATATTTTTAATTAATAAATAACAATATATATTTATGGAGTTCAATATATTTTGAAATATGTTTACAGTACATTGTAGAATGGTTTAATCAAGCTAATTAACATATCTATCACTTCATATACTTATCTTTTTTTGGTGAGAAGATTTAAAATCTATTCTTTTAGCTATTTTGAAATATACGACATTATTACTAACTATAGTTACCATGCTGTACAATAAATCACCAAAATTTATTCCTATTGTATAACAAACTTAAGACTCTTATCAACATCTCTCCTTCCTCTATTCCCCCTTTCGCCTACTGACTAAACTCTTCATTTGGAACATTTTTGAAGAGTATACAAAATATTTTTCCAAGTATTTTTTAAGAGTGCAGATAAGTTTTCATAAGACACACATATCTTTGACAACGAAAATCACGATAAAGAAATATTTCCAGTGATTTTTAAAACATTCTGTGTTTTCATCACAGTCTTTACAAAAGGCAGTTACATTTTCACTCCTTGTTAAAACATTACCTTTACCTTGAAGGAATGAGGTAAGAGTATCCATTGATTGGTTGGTTGCTTGGTATTTAATTTACAATGCAGGTTACATAGTCACTGTCACACAAAAAGGGTCAGCAAATTTGACATCTCTTGTCTTTTCATTTAAAAAACACACACTTCACCCATCTTTTTTTTTTTTTTTTTTTTTTTTTAAGGCAGGGTCTCATTCTGTTGCCCAGGCTGGAATACAGTAACATGAACATAATCCACTGTAGCCTCAATTTCACACATGCCTAGCTTTTTTCAATTTTTTAAATTTTTTTGTGGAGTTTGCCATGTTGCCCAGACTGGTCTCAAACTCCAGGACTCAAGCCATCCACCCACCTCAGCCTCCCAAAGTGCTGAGATTACAGGCATGGGGCACCATGCCCGGCCAACTCATCTTTTAAATTCAGTAATTCTTTTATAATCTTTGCTTTAAGATAATCAGAGATGCTCCTGTGATTCAAATGATTCTCATGGTCACTACTCATCTCATTATAGAGTACAACAGGGATTTGATACAACAGTTGGGATTTTTTTGGTTGTTTATTTTGTTTTGTTTTGTTTTGAGATAGAGTTTCCTTCTGTCACCCAGGCTGGAGTGTAGTAACACGATCACGTCTTACTGCATCCTCTACCTTCAGGGCTCAAGCCCTTTCACCTCTACCACTCAAGTAGCTGGAACTACAGGCACACACTACCATACCGAGCTAATTTTTTAATTTTTTGTAGTGGTAAGGTCTCACTATGTTGCCCAGGATGATCTTGAACTCCTGAGCTCAAGTAATCTCATCTTGGCCTCCCAAAGTACTAGGATTACAGTCTTGAGCCAACATGCCAGACTAACAGTCAGATTTTAAGAAAAATTAACAACATTGATATCATACTGAAATACTCTTTGCTCATCTGACATCAACCTATGTGTTGCTATAGATTACCTACGTATGATGCAACAGAAAAGTTGAAAGACTTTTACAAGGACCATCCATGAACCCACCACTTAGACTCTGCATTTATAATTTTAACTGTATTTGTTATACTATACTATGACAACACCATATGCTTTCTGTATGATTAATCCATTTACCAATCCATCTTTGAGTTTTTAAATGCATTTCAAAGTAAGTCAAACACATTAATATAGTTTCTCCCTAACAGTCCAGCATGCATATCATTAACTAGAATTTTATATGTATTATTCCTTTTTTTCCTTTTGCAGTAAATTTTACATGCAATGAAATGTGCAAATTATAAGTCTACTATTTCATAAATTCTAGCAAGTGCATATATGTATGCAGCCTAAACTCTTATAAAGTCAAAACACTATCATCATTATCACAGGAAATTATCTCATATACATTGTTTTGCATTCACGAAGTCACTTATTTTCAAGAATTTATTTTCCCTGATACATCTTTATTTTAATGGCACAAAAAG